AAAAAAAAAAAAAAAGAAAGAAAGAAAGAAAGAAAATTAATGCAGGAACCATTTACAATCTGCTGTGTAAGCTTTAATTCCATTAACCAAGTTGCGCTTCCCAACAACAGACAAGCCTGGCAAAGCAGTTAGGAGGTGCACTCTGTCATCATACAAATAGAAACTGGGGCTTTTAGAAGACGTTATTTGTTCTAGTTCTCAATGGGGGCAAATCTAGGTTATTGGGCGCTAAAAAAGTTTGAAGGCTGGAGACAACAATGATAATAAAACTTAAAAATCGCTGCTTAGTAAGGGTTGCAGCGCTATGACTCCAGGAGGGAAGTGACGTTTAAGGAGGCGGAGAAAGCCGCGAAGACGGCCTTCCCCACATCTTTCAGGACCAGAGCCCCCAAACCCATCCTTCCAGGCATAGACCTGATGGTCCTTCATCTATCCGTTAGGGGGTGGGAAAAGATGTTGCCATAGGTCGCCGAGGCCACCATCGCTTCTCTTACTGGCCAAAGCCGAAAAAAGATCACCCCTCCCATTCGTTAGAGAGCAAATCCCGAGAAAGCTCATTGGCTGCGTCGTCCGCGGGCCTTGGTCCTCTTTAAAAGCGGGCAGAGGCCGCTAGAAGAGGGGGCGGGCAAGGGGCTCGCTGTTGCCGTGGTTACGTGGAGGCACGTGTGCAGTCCCGGAAGCGCCTGGGGGGAAGCTACTTGGCGCGCGCCGCCGGAGGAAGCGTCACCCGGTCCGCTTGGGTCGGGTCCGGCTGGGCCATGGAGTGGCTTCCTGAGCCCGCGTCCCGCTGTCTCCTGCCTCTACCCTTGTTGCTGATGTTGCTACTACTGCCGGCCCCGGAGCTGGGCCGGAACCAGGCCGGAGCCGAGGAGAACGACTGGGTTCGACTGCCTAGCAAATGCGAAGGTGAGGGGGCGGGGCCCACGGGGCGTATCCTGCTGGAGGGGCGGGGCTTGCAGAGAAGCTTAGCTAGATGGAAGGTCCTGAACTCTCGAGTTTTTTTGTTCATCGAACCTACTGTGTGCTTGGCATTCTGCTGGGCGCTAGGACACCAGGGTGGGCAAGAGATCCCGTCTCGGCACACCTCGAGTTCACAAACTTGTAGAAACAAGCAATTATAATTCAGGGTAGTAGATGCCGAGATAGAGGGAAGAGATAGGAGAAGTCCTGGGCCTTGGAAGCCAGGCTTGGAACATCTGATCTAACCTGGAGTGGAAGGGCGCGATGTCTGTGTGTGAACGGGAGACAAGGAAGCCTTTATAAAGGAAGCCTGGAGAGTAATTAGGAGTTATCTGGGTGAAGAGAAGCGGAAAGACAGGGGCCCACTAAGAGGAAGGTACAGATGTAATTTCCTACAGATTTAGATATAGGGGCTTGCCGGCTAAGAAGCGAAGGAGTTTGAGGAACTGAAAACGTCTATATGACTCATCTGGAGGGAAGAAGAACCTGAGACTTTCCCCGGTTGTGCCTTCACTCCAACCTCATGTATATAGTTGTCTGTTGCCCCCACTAACAGTTGTCTTGAGTACAGATACTTTGTTTCAGATATTTAATCCCAGAGTTTCTGGTAGGCACTCAATATGCATTTTTGGAATAAATATGATTAAGTGGGGGCTATGGGTGTGTGTGGAGAAGGAGGAAGCTCTGAGGTCTTAAGGGGTCACTTTGGATAAGAGTCTGGAGTGAACTTGGTGAAGGAGGAAGATTTTAGGAATATGGAATCCCAGCAGAGGAGTCGAGACGAGGAACTTTAGATTGAAGGGCCTACTTCTTTTTCTTTCTCTCCATTTCTCAGTTTTCTCCTCAAACTTTCACTCAATCCTTCATACTTCCCTAACCCCAGGCTCCACACACACTTGGCTATGCATCTGTTTCATCTGAACTAAAAGCTTATATTAGGCCAGATGTTCCCTAAGCACTGAGAGGTGGGGGTGGGGTGGTGGGAGACACAATCCTTCCTTCCATTAGGGAGATTAAAAGTGAGATGTTCCGGCTCGGCGCCTATAGCTCAACTGGCTAAGGCGCCAGCCACGTACACCTAAGGTGGCGGGTTCGAATCCCCAGCCCGGACCCGCCAAACAACAATGAT